CCCGCCGCCGGCCCCTGCGCCCCCCCCCCCCCCCGGCGCGCCCTGCCGCTCCCGCTCCTCCTGGCTGCCACGCCCCAGTGCGCCCGCTGCGCTCCTCTTCCCACACCCCCACGGGGCTCAGCACAGACAGGACAATATGCCACCACAGCCCTCCTCAAGATGCTGTCCTCTCCTTGCTAGGAAACCAGTCCCTGAGTAGTTCCAGATCTGGCTGCTACAACTACGAGGTCTGCCCTAGTGCCCTGCGAGAGCTGCCGACAGCCCTCAGGTGGGGGCTGGGGGAGATGAGCTACGAATAGCATTAACACAGTAAGATCGACTTCAAAGTAAGTCTCTGCAAACAGACTTACAGTAACTGAAATATGGGTTTATCTATCTGTGCAACTAGATAGATACACATCTACCCACACACAAACATACAATAAACTATATATACATATATGCACACACACGTACACACACGCACACATGTATGCACACATATATGTACATATAGATACTCTGTACATGAGCAGGCAAAATTAGTGAAACACCTTAACAGTCTGAAACTACTTAAGAGCAGATCTGGCACCACATGCTGAGAAAGCTCATTGCACCATGTAGTGACTGGGATCCTCGAGCACACGCATACGCACCCCCCTCCAGCAAGAACAGCTAACACATCAATTATTGTCTCTCATCAGCATACTTCTATTCCAGAGGTGTTTTCCAAACTCACCATGGCAGCTGCAGTCGCTGCTGCCTGGGCAGCTGCAGCTTGGTTAACCTGGTACTGGGCAGCCTTGATCTTGGCTTGCAGATGTGCAGGAGGGTGAAAATATTTGCACTTTTCCCGTGAGCATCTCCCTTTGATGTAATCCATGCAGACAGTGACCGTGTTGTCATTGGTGTCGATCATTGCGCTGTCGGCAGGGTGAGCAAACCGGCAGTCATTCTCTCCCCTGTTGCAGTTGCCACGCTGGTACTCTCGACATACCTGCGACACCAGGAAAAGAAAATCGCTTCATTTCTGAACGTCTATGAGGGTACCGCAAGGATGAGTGCCTGGCCCCAGGAGAAGCAGAGTGGTGGTGCGACAGTGGGCTTGGCTCCCTGGCAGCAGGGACCTGGCTTCTCTAAAGCCACTTCTGATGTCAAAGAGCATCAAAACCCACCAGGATCAAGAGCCAAGCACACAGCAGGTTTTATTTTGGCTCCCGCTTAGCCGCCCACAGAGCTTTTTCTGTTTTCTGAAGAAACTTGCTGTGGCTAGCTCTCAGAGATCACCCCAAGAACCATGGTGTTCGGACACAGTCGTGCTCCACTGTGATCTGGCTGTGCCTGAGTTAGCAACACTTGATGCATTAATTAAGGTGACGGGCCGCAGGTGCCAGGAGGATGACTGCATGGCTGCCCCTGAGCAGCCCCACCGGACGGGCGCTTCGTGCCCATGCCAGGGAGTGAGCTGCACCCGCCGGGGTATGTGGCACTGCACCGTCCCCCACGATCCAGGCATCTGCCACGAGAGGGCAATCCAAAACCCCCAGTGGCAGTGGCTGCCTCTCCCGTGCTGCCCAGCGATTGCCCTGCAGATCAGCAGAAGGTGGTCCCCGTTGGGAAAGAGCAGAGGCTGCAGCCAGAGCGGTCACCGGTCCCACTGTCACGCTGCCACTGCACAACAGCAGCCAAAGCAAGCTGAAGGAATCAGAAACTGCAGGAAGAAACCTGCTTGGCTGGAGGGCATTGCCCTGCAGCATCCCCTCTGCTGGTATGCGGGCTCCAGCCCGGGCCTGAGCTGGCACAGGCCCCTCCCGGACCTCCAGCCACCGCCAGTGGTGCAGACACTAACTTCGCCACCAGTGCGACAAGCATTGGCTCCCTCTTCACACACCTTGCAAACCCTGTATTTAAAAAAATGACGTGTGTTCTTTTCATGGTCAACTCTTCACAAACCACAAACAAAAACGCGTTTGTCATTTTAGTTTTTCAAAGGCTGTAGGAAACAGAAAGGGACAAAAGCAACCAAGTTTGTATAAAAATAAAACCACTTTAGTAGATGGAATTTCCTTTTAAAGGTGGGTGCCCATGAGCTTGGATCATCAGTATTTCCTCAAGGACCTTGGCTCTGATCCCTGCAACAAGCCAAATTTGGTTGTTATTTGGTTTCCATCCATGCTAGCGCTCTAGCTGCTTTTTAACCCCTGTGCTGCTTCAAGTACCAGCTGCCCATCATCTAAGACTTATGAAATGACATCCCCGAATGACAAGAGCAATGCCATTTGTGAATCTGCTCGCAGGAAACATCCATTTCTCCAGGGTCATTCCAGCATGACCCTATTTATAGTCTTTTTCCATGCGGTGACAGACTCTGGATGTACATTTGCAGCAGAGCCAAATGAGCCAGTTTAGGCACTTCCATTGCTCTAATTCATCCCTGTGGCCCTACTGCTCATAGCTTGGTGCTTGCAGAACTAGTTCTGCAGCACACATGAAACAGACTGGGCAAATTCCTCAGCTGGAAAATAATCACTTGCCTGCTAGGTAATTCTTCAGCCAGATCTGTTCCCTGGTCTAGTCCCCATGAAGTGGCACGGACCACTTTGCCAGCCAGCATGACACAGGGAGTGACTGGGGAAGGAGGCGGCGCCTGTTTAAGCCATCAAAAAATACAAGTCTGCTTCTGATACCTGTTGCGTGCTAGCACCATCCCTGCTCACACGAGACTCCTTGGTCTCTCTCCCCCCTCACTCTCAAGCATACACCAAATGGAGCTGGCATATTGTTCTTTCTCCAAGAGAGCTGTGTTGGGTTGGTCAGCCCCACCACCTGCGTTGCAACTTGCTCTCTTTCATCATCTAGGAATACTTTCTGGGCCATGAACCAGTGTCTTCTACACAAACACAGGCCCCCCAAATAGACAAAAATTGATAATTTCCTTTGATTGTTTGTTTGCAATCTAGAAGTAAACTGAAGTCTTTTCCTCTGAAGATAAAGAAAATGATGCAACTAATGTCAGTTGACTGTCTTTGCTCTTTGTCTTGTATTGGTGATCCACAAAACTGAGGTCTCAAAACCACTCCACATGTAACCAAGAACTACTCCATTAATAACACAAAGATGATATACACAAATTCATATATAAGTATATATATATAAAAGTATCTGTATACACAGAGAGAAAGAAAACGCATCCACAGATAAGCTAATTTTATCATAGTTAAAAAATCAAAGAAGAATGACCAGAAAACTGAAACAGTTAGGCAGATAATCTTTGGCATGTCCTGAGCAAATTTTCAGAGCTGTCATGCAGTAGCTGAGAAAGGCAATGAATGGCTCGCTCTCAGTGCTCCTTAACAGATCTCTGAATGATGGTTTACAGCAGTCAGACACAAACCATGATACTGTTAGTCCTTTTAATTAGTGTGACCAGCAATGGCTTTTCAACCACTGTGATGGTAGCCAAGAATGTTTCCAATTCTTGTTTATTTAAAAGCAAGCATTGAAAACGGTGTTATTTTTTGTCACAGGCAGGCAGTAATATATCATTCATCTGCTTGAGTAAAGAGCGGCACAGAAACATGATATGTTATCTGGTCTTTCAGATCTGGAGAGCTTTTATTTAGTTATTTATTAATAGCCCTGTAATTAGTATCATAATTTTCAACTCAGTATGTTAAGAAACATAAACAAAAGAGGCACCTGTACATCTCTAGCCTGTCTGCAAAAATGCTGAGTTATTGCTGCAATATTACTGATTTATCGTAATGCACTTAACTTGTTCTAACTTTGGGCTGAGTTTATTTCGATCGCCCTGCTGGGATTCAAGTTGCCCACCCTGGTGGGGAGACAACCACTGCGTCACCTCAGCTACAACAGAGGTCCCACGCTGCCCGCCCAAAAGCGGGCAGAGGTTTGGCTGGAGGGACATGGACAGCAGAGCTGAGATCCCTGCCCTTCCTTGAGCAAATCACACCTCCTGTCTCCTTCTCTGCATTGAAGAGAATTCATCAAAATGGGCATATTGTTATCCAGTACATTCTGAATGTTTAAACAAACAGCACCGCTAGGTCAGATTTCCTGGTTACTCAAGATCTGAAAATCTCCAAGAACTTCTAAGCTGCTTCTTTCTGGCAAAAGATGGTATATATGAAGCAAGCAGGAAACAGCAGCTTGGCTGTGGTCATTCTTGATTCTTGAATACTTCTAATAGAAAATGATGGCATTCAAACGGAAACACATGCGTTTTACACAAAATGGTTAGGCAATTCCTTTCTCTCTCACTTCCCTGTCCTTCTCGCTTCTCTTCTAGTTCACTCGAAGAGCCACACTTTTGTTCAAGATATTTCTGGCAGGAGAGCAGTGTGAGGAAAGCTGTAGGAAAAGCCTCAACCCATGAAATTTCCACCCTGAGACCCAGATTCCTTACGGGAGTGACTGAATGCACTGGACACCCAAACATCTGCATGCTATCTGTACAGGTAACACGGTCCAAATATGTATGAAATTAATCCTACTGCTAGTAACAGTCACTGACCTTATCTTATGAATATTCATATTAATTCAGAAGGCTCGGCACACTGCCTGACAGATTTGTGTTGTCTGCCTGCTTTACTTAAAATCCCAGGTATACGTATTGAGAGCTTTTAGTTGTGGAACAGCCCGATTCAGTATCCCAGAACACGTGTGCTAACGTAATTAACGCCACAGTACATCATTCTTGAAAATAAGTATTTAAAATTCTAAGCAGAACAAATCATATTCCAAGATTAGATGCTAACATTATAGCGGTTATTTTTCTCAAGGACAGTTCATTCCAAGGGAGAGCGAGCTAAGCCTTATAAAGCCCTCTAATCATGTCATAACAAATGACAACACCGACAGCAATAAGCTCACTTAAAGAGCAGGCAGATATCAGACAGTGCAAAATCTTTCAAATCAGTTCTGCATTTCTGTAATCTATAAAGTACATTAAAATATTTTGCTGTTCATAAAAATGATGTGCTTATTTGGTATTTGGATACACCAATACACTGGAAAGCACTGGCAAATTATCTTCTCACTTACTTAAACTATTTAAACTGCATCTGCTGAAGGGAAAAAAAGAGGAGGAAAAGACACCCCCCACCCAACAGATACTAATTTTGTAAGACAGCAGCGTGGTGTGGAATTTGCAGAGTTGGTGGGTCAACCTGGATGTACTCTTGATCCCAGTCAAAATAAAAAGCAAAACTTAAACAGCTTAAAGGGTAGAAGAAACTGGATTTCTTTAAAGTGATCTACATGGTGCAATGGCTAGAGCAGAGTGAAGGGAAGGGCCCTGTTAGGAAGACTGGGCTGGGACAGCCCTCCTCCAAGGACAAGGACACCTCTCAAGAGCGGTGCCTACTGAGATGCAATTACAGCAGAGAAGGCTGCTGGGTGCTGACTGAGCTGGGACGTTAAGTCAACTGGAGAATATGGCTGAGAAGTAAGTGTCCTGCTTGACCACGTTCTGGCTGTAAGCTGAGCCCACGGGAGGGTGGTGCTGCCTCCCCGGCGCTGCCGAGGGCTCTCCCTGGTGTGGAGTGCTGCCTCGCGGGAGCTCGGCCAGCATGCAGGGACCTGGCACGCTCTTGCACTGCCAGTGTTTCCTGCAGCGAACGAAGTCTGCTCTTGGAGGAATCCCCGCACAGTGCCATTTCACCAGGAAAGGTGACAAAAGAGGCACTCCTCTAAGTCTCTGCACTTATTTTCAGGGGTTTCCAACTTGGCCATCATCTTCCTTTCCATACAAGTTCAAAGCAAAACCATTCAGACTTTTTTTTTAATTTTTACTGATTTCAGATGCTTTTGCTGGCTTTTCGTAATTGATAAAAATGTTTTTTACTGCAGACTGTGCCCCTGGGTGTTTTGTGAGAGTAACACACTCACAACTCCCTCTTGTGCAGAGGAGTTTGGCTCAGCAGTGTATCACTTCTCTAAATAGCTATATAAAGAGAACGCAAGCATCCAGAGGATCAAATCCTGCATGCTGAAGTCCCACATTTCATTAGCTTCCCATGCACGTTGGTCACAGTCTGCCAGACAGCACAAGCTCTGCCCCAGAGGCTCCACATGAAGAGGTGTCCCCGTGCAACCCCTCTCAGGCTCCCACCAATGTACACGCTTCCCTGGCCATGGGCAGAGCTGGTGCTTGGGGACTTCGGGTACATCCTGCTCCTGCTTACAAACAGAAAGCTTTTGAGCCCACAAGTCCCCAACACCACTGACCAGTGCCGTGGCCTCTACATGGGTGGAAGCACAATCAAACACAGCAGCCGACCTCGGTGCTGCAACCCAAAGGGGTCTCCACCATCAGCATCCTCCTCTCGGTACTCATTTCCAAATCTAGCATGATTTATTTATGAATTTATCTAATTGCATTTTGGTTTTAATCCACCTCTGGCAGGTATCCACCGTGAAATAGAGTCCTCAAAGGAAAAACATGTCTTAGTGATTCCAAACAGCCACCCGTGCGCCAGCTCTCAGCTCAGTGCGGCTGCCTCTCCTGTAACCTGACCGTGCTTTGGGGAACGCCTTCCTCGGAGAAAACATCTCTAAAAAGGGAAATGATGTGATCCCGCAGAAGGGGAACCTGTGATGACGTCAGCTCTGAGAATAGCGACAGTGAGAAACGCTCACTGCCAGAGGACCCTCCACACTCCTCCCAGCTTGCAGCCTCTGAGCAGCAGCTTGTCAGTCAGAGATGCAACTAAGAAAAAGGAATTAATTTTCCTTGTAAGGAGAATTAATCCCTGTTAATGCAGATGCATGGGCAGAAAGAAAAGCATTATAATTACAATTGGCTGCATTTTATAACAGAGATCCTTCTCGCTCCTCCCATCATGCTCCCTGAGTTCAGGGACCATATCCAAGAGCAGATCAACCCATCCACCCCCCACACCCTCAAGCCTTCACACCCTCCCCACGCAGAGGAGATGTTGCAGTACCAGGATCTCTGAGACCTTCCACTGCACTAATGCTACAGGAACGCTAGTGCTGAGCACTGGCCACTGGGGTGGGGGCTGAGGACAGAGCAGGAGGGCTGTGGCTGCAGGGGATGGGTCATGGCACAGCTCAGCTCTCTCCACTGCCGATCAAAGCTGCTGTCGGCTGCTGCGCGGTGCCGGAGAGGGAGAGCACCACCAGCCATGCTACAGGGAGAGCGGACCTCTCGCAGGCAGTGCATGCCCTAACACACAGCTGTGTCCAACAGACAAACGGGGTGACAGCAGATCACCCTGCCTGCTCAGCCTCTCCCATCGCCGCCTTTTAACCACCAGACCTGACCGGGGCTGCGGAGCGCCCGCACACAGGCTGTGCTCGCAGGCACGCCCCAAGTGTGCCGGCAGCACATGGCTGGCTCACCGCCCACGCTGCCGCAGCACCGATAAGGTGCCGAAAACACTGTCAGGCCTTTCAGATAAAAAAGATTCAGGGCAAGGGAGAGTACCAGCTAGAGTGCACTAACACTTGCCAGGGTTGTAGCAAGGTTGATAAGCCGGGCGTGGGAGGCGAGTGGTGGAGTGCTGGCACCATCTGTCCAGAGTGAAAGTGAGAGGCTGAAAGCCATCTTTTACCCAGGTAGCTGAAGCTCTGCCCTTACACCCACCCCTGGTGCTCACTACCCATGCCTGTACAACCCGCACATTAACACCTTCTGGGCACACACGAACAGTTTCAAGGTGCTCCTGCTGCTGCCACAGTCATTCCTAAAAGGTCTCAGTATTTCCATTTTTTTCTGCAATGGAGGGTCAGAAGCAGAACCACAAGCATTAACTTACTATATGATCACTCAGTCACTCCCCGTCCTTACCCGTCACCAAGATACGACATTATCAGCTGAAGCGAAACCTGCATTATTTTCTTTCACAAGAAAAATGTTTTGTATCTAGGAGACATAAGTGATACAACTTGTGAGAGTAAGTTACACATATCAGCTCCTACCTCCAGCCTGTCTGTCCTCATTAGCTTTTGGGCAGCAGCGGCGGCAGCAGCAGGAACCGGGACACCAGGGTTCCCTGTCACCAGCATCGGGGCGGTGGGCAGGATCTCTGCTGGCACCAGGCCTGGGGAGACAGGCCCCAGGTAGGGGTTGAAGGCGGCTGATGCGTTGGTGGCTAAGCTTGGTGCAACGGAAAACATCGGCTGCAATCAGAGAAAAGAAGAAGAAAGACACTTTAAATATTTATACTTGCCATGCCATCAGCATAATAACTTTTTGGCTATCATCTTGAGCACAATGGTGGTGAGTTTGTGTTACTAATGGGAAAGAAGCATTTGTCATGTCTGTGGGATGTGAAGAACACCCGTGCAAACGTTGCACATGAGCAAGACCACGAGGACAGGCATCCCCTGCCAGCCTCCGCTGGTTCTCCTGCTCAAGCTTCCAACACGTGGCAGCTCTTGGAGCAAACTCTCATTTGATCTGCACTTGAGCAATGCCATCATTAACGAGCACGCCTCGCAGCCACAGGAGAAAGTCTGAGGCTCTTGGCAGCACACGTCCAAAACGTGTACAAACATCCGCTCTTGGGAAAAAAGGCATCTGCGTGAGAGCCCCAACACACCATCAAACCACACTCAACTTCAGACACAGATAAATACATTTCTGACCCTGATGACAGCCAGCTCTGGTTCAGAAATTACAGGAGTTTAATACAGGAACAAGACCAGACAATCATAATCATTTATTTTTACAAAATTAAACAGGCTGTCCACGCAGATATTCAGAAAGAAATATACTGCATCAAGGATATGCTTTATTTAGACTAAAACATTAAGCCAGAGAGAGAGAGCATGCAAATACCAGGGGTTTTTGTTTGTTTGCTTGTTTTAAAAAAAGAGTCAGATGCCCTTGTAGGCTATCACATGTTGTGAAGATAATTGGATGTAGAAGACCAAATAATGCTGCAAGACCCAATGCGGAGCTGTTACACTGCAGTAAAGATTAAATAACTCTTCTGCCCCACTGAATGCAAAGGCACTGCGCTACCAGTGTAATTGCCAAATAAAATTTCGTCTGGAGTGTTTACCTTTAGTATCTAAATAAAGTAGTTACTCAAGGCATTTAGATTTTTTTTTCCAAACTAATTTTTAGAGGGAAAAACAACTACGGCGTTAACGCAATTCTTTTTCTCTGTTTCATATCTGTTTCAGCCAGCCAGCATATAACACCACATGTTTTTGTATTCCTGAGGAAATGACTGAACTGTTTGGAAGCAAGGAACAGGTCCATTTGAAACACTGGACAAAAACACATGCAAAGATTACTGAAGAAAAAAGACTGAAAGTTGCGTAAATGGGAATAATTTCTTTAAAGTCTCTAGTTCTTCATCAATGTGAATGAAAAACAGGCAAATTTTACAGGAAATAAAATATTACTATTAAATACACTATTAATTAATGGCACTTTTCATTACTGTGTTATCAGCTATGTAATAATGAACATTGAAAATAAAACTATGAACCAGTCTGTTAGTGTGTAACTTAAGATATACCAATGTCTGATTTCAGCCCAATATACTCACTGTATAAAAGACTATCCCATTTATTTTCTACTGAGAACATTTTATACTACTATAAATATCCTGCAGCCTTTAGACCATTGCAAAATAATAGCATATTTTATCACAGCCACTGCATATTATTCTGAAACTCACAGGTATTTTGCAATGTGCTGTACACATATAAATTAGGAGATAAAAAACTATCTTACAGTCATATCAGCCCAGACTCAGAGCCACGTTGCTGGCAGAAAGAGACCATGAAGTGGTGAAACCTGGGCAGCACACAACCACGTTCGGTAGCAGAAGAGTCTGCCAAGGCACAAAGCCACCCGAACACTCCTGCACCAAGGAAAAATTTCTGGCAATACAGTGGCCCCAGAGGACACATGGCACAGACTGGATCTGCCCAGGGACCATCCCCAGCACTGACCCAAGGCTCGGGTGGCTGCGGGATGGGGAGGAGCGGGTCACCAGTGCACTGCTCCCTCTGCCGCAAGGGTCACCCCAAGCACGGCCCTGCCATCCACGAGCATCAGCCGAGGGTCAGCCTGTAACTGCAAACTGGTCAGAACTGGGACCCCAATGCCATGCAGGAAAGGAGAGACCGGGGGGGGTGCTCCAGGTCAGTCCGAGCTGCTGGGCTCGTCTCTGCTGCTTACTGCTCACTTGTTTTCCAGCAAGCTTTCACTTCCTCATCTCTAGAAGCAGAGGTATAGAGTATTTCTCTATCACCACAACCAAACCATACAACTATTTACTGGCCTTGCAGTTAGGGCCCTACTATGCTGTGCATCATGCAAACCAGCTGAAAAAAAGAAAAAAGCAGCTCCTGTAGGTCCGCAGAGAGAACAGAGGTGAAGGAGGACATAGCCTTGGATGCTGCTCTGTGCTGCCAGATGCCCCAGAATCCACATCATCCCATATACTGAATAATCCTGCTCTAAAAATGCCTGTGCACAACCAACGTGAACCTCACCAGCAGGTCTGATCTCCACAGCTCTGCCTTTCAAAAGCACTGCTTGCTAATGGGGTCTATTGATTGGGAAGGAGACACGGGGGCACCTTTGGAAATTGGCCTCTGCAGCGCAGCAGAGCCATGGCTCCTCCCTGGACAGACAGACAGACGGGCTTTCTGCCAGCACCCCAGCTCGCCAGCCCTGCAGGACCGGCTGCCCGCAGGGAAGGAGCTGGACTCGTTTAATGCATCTTTAACAGTCATCTACCGAGCACCTGCCATGCCAAGGAAAGCACAAGAGTGTACCGCATACACAGAGAGAAACACTGATAATCTACAGCTACTTGTGAATTACAAACACACCTGCAGGAAGGTCTGGGACCTTGCTCTGCTGCAGATTTGCACCTGCAGTGTGCAGCTGATCGCCTCTGGAGTGCCAGCGCTCTGCAGAAATGCATGCCTGACTAACAGCCCCGCGGTTCAGGCCTGTATGGAGCAAGCAGCCTCGGGGCTCCTCGTGCTCCCAGCGCTCCACATGCCCCTGGAGGCGAGGAACGGCCCCAGAGTCTCCAGCCACATTTGTGGTCCATCTCTGCTCTTCTGGTCTCACATCTGCATCTTCCTGCTTCTGTTCAGCATTTTTCACACTCTTCCACACCGGAAAAGGCAAATCCAGGGTCTGATATTGCTATTGTGCAGCAGCACAGCATCACCCATTGATGTGCTAGTACCAACTGATGTGCTAATACCAACCGATGCTCTAGTACTAAAGCATTAGTCTAGTTGAGCCCAACTCCCCCTAAATGGGTTTACAAGCAAGGAGGGCAGAACCGATTCGAGCAGGCAGAGCTCTTCCTCAGGATCTCTGTGCTTGCAGTCAGCAGGACACGCAGTCCCTGCTCACCATCTGAAATCCCCTCCCTCAAGTGCCAGCTAAAGACAGATAAAAGAGTGAACTAAAACGGAAAGATGGGAAAAGTCCACAGACATTACTTGCAACTAAGATAAAACATTTATCAAACACAAATATGAGTGAAAGGATCCTACTGCTTTGCTTACCAAATTAGAGTCTCTTGTTAAGTTAGTTCACTTACTTTTATTAAAGCATAGACTATTGATTTTTGTAAAACAAAACAGACTGACTGAAGCATTGTTAGATGGGATAATATGAATCACCTGCTAGAACACCCTGAAATAACATCCATTTCAACTGTGCTAAAAAATAAAGTAATTTTAAGGCCAAATTAGTAGGATGACATCCTACTAATGGAAATGCTACTGCTGGGACAGCCAATGGCCCTTGCTATGAAACCTCATATTCAATGAGACTGAATTCTGAAAATACACAGTCTGTCATGTCTGAACTCAAGTGATGTACACAGAAATTACCCAGGCACGGGTAGAAGGTTTGTGCTGCACTTCAAAATATACTGACTTAAATTTTGCTCGTTAGGGACAGTGCGAGTGTAGCATAAAGGAGAATTTAAATTTCATTTAAATGTTATCCTCACACTAGCCTCTTTTTACAGAAAGTTAATCCAAAGGACTGCATTAGTATTTTTTTTCATGTTTACCCAAATGTTGGTGTGTGCCTACACACTTCTTTGTATAAACCTGAGCACGCCATATTTGGTTACAATTCATGAAACAAACAAACAAACAGGTTAACAGAAAAGAATATTTTAAGCAATGGTTCTTACTGTTGGCTGCATTTTGACTTAAGCTTTCTCATAGTCCCAAATATGAATTTGCTGGTACTAAGGCTGTATCACTGTACTAAAATCAGGAAATAAAAATAAAATTGTGGCATGTGCACACGTCTGTTTTGAGCTGTTGAAATTGAAAAATCATTTTGAGGTTGCTCTGGAGTTAAAGCACGTAAAGTACAGACTGCTTTTGAGCTGTCTAGCTGTACAGACACTTAATTTTGTTTCTGATCTGAAAGCCATCAGCAGCGGGCACCAGCCTACAGGCAGCCACATTTCTCCTGCAAGACAGGACTAAGGAGCAGGCTGCACTGCGCAGTGTTAGGACATCCCCTGAAGCACTGCGGTGCCACAGCATTTGGTGTCTGTGCACTGATGCTGCCTCAGCTCATCTCCTTGCTCAGGTGATACAGACAATTTTACTTAAAGAAAAGCCAATCAAAAGAGAGAAAACAAAATGTGGTATCTGCTCACACTGTGCTAATAGGTACTAAAGTCAATTTACTGTGAAGATCCTACCACAACATTTTCTGCTTTTCTCCCACACGCACCCTTTTTCTTGAAACAGCCGAGGCATAAAGCTCTGTGGGAGAATAACAGTTATATTAGCTGAATCAAATAAGCTACAACATATTTACTGGTATTCTGTACACCCACAAAACAGGGGGCCAAATAACCATTTGGCACAAGTATGAGATGATTTTTCCTAAGGATTTAGCTTATTTTGAGGAGTATTAATTGTCACTACATTTTTTGAAATAAAAGTTGAAGAACTCATCTAACAGAGTGAACATAGGTTTCCTAACGGAACATATCTGGAAGTAAATTAAACTCCCTAAATTCTACCTTTGCCAGCAAGAAAGGAATAAAAGAACTGTCAGAGAAGTGGTAATGCAGATGTATTTATTTTATATATATATATATTTTTCAACTTATTTTTTCCTTTGCTGCCATTTTACCCATTGAAGGAGAGCGCTTCAGCCAGGGGAGCATTATTTGCCTTTTTATGTAGAATATACCAGCCTTGCTCATACATTAATCAGCGCCAGTCTCGCTCATACATTAATCAGTACCCTCTAATGTCTGAACTAGAAGTTTATATCAAAAGGGTTCTGGGCCAAATTTATCCATAGGTTAGCTCAAATGACCTCTCTGGATTGCATTAGAGAGGGATCTGGCACAGGGTGTTCAGCTCCCAAATGTGTATGTGCATGGCAGGTTGATGCCAATCATCTTTACATTTGCTGAAATGAGGGATTATTGCAGAGCAAGAAACTTAGCCACGGCGTTTGACTTTGTGGAACACTGCACTGTGCTTACTTACTAAGGTATAAGAGAAACAGATATGATGTAATATATGATCACATTTTACTGTGACCAGATGAGAGATTTTTGATAGATTCTCCTTCCCCCACCCCTTGATTTTTTGTAGAAGGTATGATAATCTGTACTTCTTCTTCCTGCCAAGCCTGAGCTGTGGATCGTGCAGGTCAGACTGACATGCACCATACATCACTCAGGGCAAGCTTTCTGCTCTGCCTGACAACGTGCTGTAAAAACCGAAGTTCAATTCCAGCAAGTAATTCCCTGAGAAGGTTCCCCTGAGTGAATGGAAAACATCCAGTGGGAATCTTCTCAAACCCAGGAATTTCCTAGAGCACATGAAACTGCAAAGGAAACGTCTATTTATGAAAATCCCACACAGATTATTCACTTTCTTAGTTTTAAGAAACAAGTTGCAAAAAATTAATTAAATTAACAAAATATTAACAAAATTAATTACATTAACAAAATTACTTCAGGCAACAGAGAATTAAGCAGTACAAAGACATACAGACCAGCATTTCATTGTATTTGATTTCTCCACCAGTTACCACCATTTGTGGCATTTTACAGGCACGTAAGCACACCTACTAACTTACTTCAACTACAACTCATTGTACTCATTGATCGAAACCAAGAAGTGTACATACCACAGGCTGCAACGGGGCACCAGGCATCATGGCATTGGCAAGCTGCATCTGCTGGGCCAGCATGGCCATATTCTTCTGCTGAATCAGGTTATTGCGTCCATTTATCTCCAGCTGTGTTTTTAAGTGTGGTGGTGGGTGAAGGTATTTGCAGTTTTCCCTTGAACATCGACCCTGAGGAAGAGAATTGACACAATTGTCTTAGAAGCTATAGGCATATCTTCGTTCCTTATGTCATCAGCTAAAACAAACACAACACACGCTACAGACCTAGGAGGAAAGCCCCTGGCTACTTCTCTAAGCTATCACATACTGACCAGAGCAACTTGACAATTCTAGTATCAGCTGCTTGCTTTGCTTTTCTAAACTATGTATTTCTGTAGTACGACTCCAAAAAATACTGTTTCTTTAAAAAGTTGCTGAAGGCAAGCAAATACCAGTTGTTTTAAAAGTAGAGCATGCTCATCCTCTACAGGCACACGTTTTCGCTCAGTGAAAGCTATGTCCATTGGGACTCAGAATGGCTCCCCCTGCCCATAGAGCTGCCTTCAGGAAGCAAGCGGCTGCGGAGCCAGAAACCCAACAAAAGAAATGCGGTCTGGCTGCAGCAGTGAGCCTACAAAAGCTCACGTGCAACTCTGAAAATGTTAAAGGCTCACTTCTCTCTCTGCTGTGCAGGGGCACAAGAAGCACTGAGCGTACAGCAAGACAGGTGGTCAAAATAGCATTATTACCAAGAAAACAGCACCAGCTCTGCACTTTCACTAGACCTGTAATACAGCATCTTTGAAGAAAACCTCTTACATATGAGGCATTTTTGTTGCAATTGTGTAAACCAAACAAGAAAATCAGAATTAGCTTGTTTCTAAATTTTTCATTAAATTCAGATGTGGTAAACAACAAATTTCATGCACTAATTTTATTTGGATGAAAGGACATTCATCAATTTGACAACCATTCACATCAAGAAATAATAAAAAATAATTCTATGTACAATATATACCCAAACCCCACTGTTTGGGAGTTGTTAACAAGTTTGTAGCAACTCCTTGTTACCACATAAACCAGCTTTGCACATAAGACAACGCTCCTTGGTTGAAATCCTTTAACACGGTCTCTTGCTCTGGGTGCCCCCACTGGCGGGCTCCCACCTGGGAGCAGGGCAGCTGGTGCTGGGCAGCGCTGGGTGCTCACCCGGCGGCTGGGGCACGGGGAGCTGGGCACGAACGTGACTTCTGAAAACTAGCCCCAAGTTCCCCCCAGCTGTAGCTCCACTGTAAAAACCTCTAAAATGAAAGGCACAGCCTGAGCGAAGGGCACTGCCTGCACAGCCGCTCAGCCACAGTGTGTGGCAGAGGGAGGTCAGGGAAGAGAAACACCTTCTCCTGGGGAAGAGAATCCCCTCTTCTCATGGCGCGTGAGCTGTGGTCTCGCATGCCATGAGACTTCAGAAAATACAAATTCATTAATATGGAAGCTTTAGACACTAATTGTTCTTTAAAATTGTAACACTGGAGCCCATGCTTTCACTAAAGGGATGATAACAATAAAAAAAAACAAACTAAAAAGGAGAATTGAATGCTTTTCTGGAAAAAAACAGATTCCTTAAATTACATTTTTTTTCCTTTACTTATTCATCTTTGAAATAAATCCAAACAGGAATAATGACAAGGCAAAAGAGAGCCTTAATTTAAGTAAGAAACTGTTTTTATCAGGAAACAAATTAATTCAATATAGTCTGACCTTATACTGCAATTTTGCTCAGAAATTTAAAATGTATTCTTGTTACAAGATCTGCCAGAAATCTAATTTGTTCAATGATTTTTGTCTCCCTTAAGGCTGGGATAAACGGTTTGCTGCTGCCCCCCTCCCAATCCGTCTCTCCTGCTAGCAGTCCTAAGTTCTTAAAACTCATTTTCATAGTTATTCAATTGACATCTGAGTGATCCTTGCATAGGAAGATATACCTGATACAAAGAAAAATATGTAAAGTTTTGTGGATATCTTTAGGCTACACACCAAGATTACAGAAAGCCCTATGTATATGAAGACCACTACTATAATGAACGGCAAAGAAAGTTCATCTTTCAGAGCTTCCATTCATAATCCCTGAGCATATTTCCTTGAATGAAACGCATTTTCCATCACACGATCCCGTCTACTGCCAGAGACAACACAGAAGAGCTGAGCGACTGCTGCCAGTCACAATGGGAAGGTGCAGACGAACAGAAACCCCAGCACATGGCTGCCCCGGCGCCTGGCTGTGCAGTGCTCGCTGCCACCTTGCTGGCCCTGGGCCACGGGGCTGCAGACATCAGTCTTCTCGTTTGTGGCAAGAGTCGGAGGGGTCCCCCAAGCCCTTTGGCATGAGGCCTTCGCCTTCCCCTTACACAGCCCTGTGACAGGGCTCTCGCAGGCGTTTGCTTGTTGGTCTGAGGCGTGCTATGGGCTGTCCTCGGCAGAGCTGACACACAGAAAGATTCACTGAAGTCACTTGCAAGAAAATCTCCCTAATAACACAGCTCCAAATGTTGGAAAGCAATCAAGAGAGGGGCCAGATAATGCACAAAAGCTAAAAGCACAACATCTATACTACAGATAAGATGGGGGAAAAAAACATTTGCAGCCTGAGAAAATATTTTTACAGGGGAATGGAGTTTCCTACTGCAAATAAGGATTAGGATACTTCAGTAACAAACATTAACAATTCATGAGTAGAAAAGACAAATTGATGGTGGCAACAGGAATTGGTGTTTATGGAGCGTGAATTTTATACGTGTGTGTGTGTATATACACACATACATGCATGCATATATGCATCTGCTGGTTGCTGTTCCACCCATGGGAGCTCCCCAGGACACCTCGAGCACCGCACGGTGAGAGCAGCGGCGATCCCCCCGGTGGGGATCAAAGCCAGCACCTGACAGCCTGAAGCAGCGGCCAGACTGCAGGGGCCAGCACAGCCTGCGGTGGACTGGCTGAAACGACGTGTGGGACATCTCCCACCCAGCTTGTTTGTACGCTCGGGGGAAAGCACATTTTCAGCCTGGGGGGATGCTTTCGGACAAAATGACCCTTGGTTCTCTCCTTTAATGCCTTACTGACAACACAGTTCAGTATTTAAGCCATTTTGCACAAATAAACCAATGTCATTTCAGCACCGCACCCCCCAAAGCATTTCACAATTATATGAAATGGTAGGTAAAAGGCAAGCACTTTCGAACAGCTTTATTTATGTCAATTTTTCTCCCAATACTAAAACCCCTGTTAATTGTTGCTACCACTAAGTAACACAGGGCAAAATTACACATTTACTAGCTGCCTGGAAGATGATATCTTACATTAGCACAGTGTAAAATTCAGACTTAATTACTGCTAATGAGTAACATGAAACTACTACATGTGTTGCTGGAATCAGAGAGGAGCAATTAACAAACCTGATTCCAAAATGCAGATTAAACTCAATGTCCTTATTTCAGTGGTGAGGTCTAGGCTGCTCCACACCTCTCCAGACTGGATCCAAAGACTGGATCATGACCGCTTAATGTACTTCATAGACTCAAACGCTTTAAGGCCAGAAGAAACCGTTCCAGTGACCTAATGCAATGTCCTCAGGCTCCTGGGAAACAAGGAGGCCCCTCCATTGTTGCCCCATCAAGGCCATCATTTCTCTTCGCTTAGCACCTGATCTTTAAGGAAGACAATTTACTCTGAGTTAAAAACTACAAGAATATACCACATACCCAGGTAAACTGTGCTTATGCTTAGTTATTATTAGCTACTCTCAAAAAGTTTACATTTTTCTTGTTTGTATGTTGCTTTGGAGTCTAGTGCAGCATTTAACTTTAAACCTTTTTGAATTTTCAGATCCTAGCAAATTTTCCAAAAGAAATGCAGACTTATCTGTTTGGGAAATGGCTTTCTGGTCTTACTTATACTCCATGGACCTTCAGAAACGGTCCACAGTGCGACCAGGAGCCAGAAACCGCAGGCTGAAAACTACTGTCAAAAATCTCAATCAAGAACACAGACTGCATTCATCTCCTTTATACTGTGAGCAAGTAGTTTCTTAATTACCTTTTCACTAGATTCTGGTAACTTCAGTCAACAAAGTTTAAGGCAGGTTTTCATCTCTCTGAACCTTTTCTGAACCCTTTGCTGTTTTTTCAATCATAAAAAAAAGAATACTATAAGTGAGTAAATTCAGAGAAGTGGAAGTCGAGCACACTGGCAGTGTCCTGAAACACTGTACCAGCACACTGGTAGAGTTTTATGAGAATCCTGCTGGACTAAAAGTTATTAAAAATGCTCCTGAGGCTCCTCAGGCACACTCTTCAGCAGAGGCTGCCCGCAGATCTCCAGTCCCGAGACAAGCGGGACAGGGCCTGCCTCATGAGCAGAGCCAGCAGGGAAACTAAGGGTGTACAGCATGGCAGCGGGGGGCAGGAAATCACTCACACAGCAATGTGATATTTGGGCAAAAACCTGTTGCCAAGATCCCACGTTTACTTCTGCACTCAGGACTCCTGCAGGAAGAAACCCGGCTCTCACTCACACTGCAGCCAGCAGCTGGAGCAGCAGCTCCCCAGCAGCCATGAGAAGAGGCTAGGCCAGGCCCAGGCGATGCTGCTGGAGCCAGGCATGGACATGGACCCGCTACGGCACCCGGGGTGCACTGGCCTGAGCAAGCCACACTTTGTGGCCACGCTGTGGCTCTGCCGCCAGCCTCCCGTGGGAGGCCAGTCCCGGGTGGCCTGAGCAGCCTGCCAGCCATGCAGGGCAGCGCCAGCGCCATCCCCACACGTGTCCCTGCTAAGCAATCCTGCTGTCACTAACCAGCACCCATCAGGTACTACATTCCTGACAGCAGTGACATGGCAAGAACATGGCCCCGCGCGCCATGATGAGCCTTTGTGCACACCCTGCTCACGAATACACCCTGCAGAGCGAGGAAGAAGGAGAGCTCGGAAAAAAGGCCACTCTCACATGATGTTTTTCTCCAGCTATCATATCAACAACCTTCAGGCAGAGAGCCCAGGCTGAACTAAACAGCCAGCCTGACTGTCATTAAATTAGGGCAGCATGATGTCTGCTGTATTTTAAGCTGTCTAGCCTTGGCAAAAGCAGGTGATGGGGACAGGGACAGGGAGAAGTGGGTGGCACTCGCCCACCAG